GGATGTTAAACACAGAACTACCGTATGATCCAGGAATTTCACTCCTAGGTACACAGCATAGAGACTGGGATGTTAAACACAGAACTACCGTATGACTCAGGAGTTTCACTCCTAGGTACACAGCATAGAGACTGTGATGTTAAACACAGAACTACCGTATGATCCAGGAATTTCACTCCTAGGTATATAGCAGAGAGGCTGGAAAGTAGCGACACAGACACATGCACACCATGCTCATTGCAACACTGAAATTCATAGTTGCCAAAAGGTGGAAACAACTTAGATATCCAAATGTAGGAAACTTTTTCAGTAAAGTATGGTATATTTATATATGGTACATTTAAAGAGTTGTGGCACTGTAGGGTCCATCAGGACTGTGAACCACAAGGTTGGCAGTTCAGATCCACCAACTACTCCTCAGAAACCCTGTGCAGAGTCACAGTGAATCGGAACTGACTCAGCGGCACTTAACAACAAAATTTGTTGACATAGAAAAACGTTCACAACCTATCAGTGAATGAAAATGCACATTAAAAAAGAGCAAGTATGTAAAATTATACACACAAAGAAGATCAATAAAAATGTCTACAGTGGTCATCTCTGGGTGGTGGTATTTCAGCAGTTCAGGTAGCTTTTAAAATATCTTCTGAATACAGTTTTCTGAATGGCGTGAATTATGATTTCTCCTCTGTGAACATAGATCATTAACCCCCAAAACAATATAAAGTTAGTTTTAAAAGACAAAACAAAAGGAGATTTTTGATGCTATGGACAAGAAAATGTGTTTATTATTTTCAAAATTAATAATTTATGATCTAACGAATGATTTACAATGCTTTTTGCCATAGGGGGATTTCGAGATCCAGCTCTATATACTACCTGGTTAAAGCCTGCTGATGCTTTCAGTATGTGGAAAACTCAGCGAGCCTTCAACAAATATGAGAAGTCTGCCACATTGGTCAGCAATAGCCAGTTCTTAGTAAAACCACTTGATACAATTGTGGGCAAAGCGTGGAACATGTTTGCTTCAAAGTAAGTACCGTATCAGTCTACAAACTGTTCTAAGCTTAGGCAGACAATGGAGCAGTGAGTTAAACATGATGCAGGGTCTGGAGTAAGCACAGTCCCCACTTTACTGGTATAAATCCTTTGGCATATTACTTAGGCCACATTTCCTTCTCTGTACACTGGGTCCTAACTACAGGACTATGTGGTGGAATTAAATGAGAGGAAATGGCACTGTGGGATCATGCGCTGGACTGCAGGTTCGGTTCAAATTTACCAGCCGCTCATCGGAAACCCTATATAAGGTCACTATCAGTCAGGACCGACTTGATGGTACTTTACAACAACATAGTACTTGACTTGTTAATGCTTGATAATTGCTTGGCATTATTATTACTGATTATTATATTAGTATTTTTGTAGTTTATCAGTATTGCTTAATGAATAGTTTCTAAGCCAAATGACATTAAAGCAGAAATTTCATTATAAGGTAGGGACAGTAAGATAGTTTTACAAAATAAGATCCTTGGAAGAGTGGAATTGCTGCTGGTCTTGCTCAGTAAGAAATCTGGGAAGTTCAACTCCATTTGATTCTAAGAAGCATTCTGTTGGGTTTCTTGACCTATACCACCATGACTAGATTCCCAAGGACCCCGCCATCCTGCACGCATCCATCCCGCTGGCGGGCAGCTGCTCCCCCTACTCAGTAAATGCTAGCAGCAGCCCTTAGGACAGCATTTTAATTCATATCTGCCCTAAACTTGATTTCTCCTGCCTCATTTAATCAATTCTACTACTAGTAGAAAAACATTTTTTTGTGGAAAGAAATTACTGAAAGAGCCATCCTGACATTTACCAGTTAAATATTGTCCAAAAAGCACGTGAGAGTCTTCACTATATTCCTAGAATTGGATCGATATGTTTTCAAAGTGCTGTTCCAGGCCTTAAGACAATTTTTCTGTCATCCTTTTGAGTTGACATTGAACCCGATATGTGTAGGCTTTACGAATCTGAATATGCTTCTTTTCCCTGTGTGCCTCCCGAACACTAAAGGCGGGTAGGAAGCGTGACAAGCTTTGAAAATTTGCTAATCTTTGGAGTAAACAGTGAAGCAGATACAAGACTCTTAAGGGATTCAGCAGTGTTCATGAGCTGGAAAAGGGCTACTTATTGTTGGATTGTAAGTTATTCATTCAGTTGAGATTTTTATTTTACATTTCCTGTTTGTTTTTGTTTTTTTCACTAGAGCCTATGTTTATCAGTATACAAAATTTGGAATTGAAGAAGAGGACTTTTTGGACAGCTTCTCACTGTTAGAGCAGGTTATTGCTAGTTACTGTAACCTCTGATCTTGAACAAAAGTGTTTTTGGACTAAGACATTTTCAATACTGTTTCTGTAAGGTTTAAAAACTCATATATATTAAAGTAACAAAATAGAATGCTGAGTTCATTTTGCATACTATAGTCAGAGAAAATGAGGAAAATTTTTTAGTTGGAGAGTAGCTTGTTTTCCATGAAAACATCTTTTACTTAAGTTTAATTTCTAAGGAAAAAAAAAAAAAAAAAATACTCCACAAAAAACACCACTGTTGTTGTTGTTAAGTACTGTGGAGGTAGTTCTGACTCATAGCGACCCCGTACAGGGTTTCTGAGGCTGTAAATCTACGGGAGTAGAAAGCCTCATCTTTCTCCCACGGAACAGCTGGTAGTTTTGAACTGCTGACCTTGCAGGTTGGCAGCCTGATTCATACTGGGAGCATGCATATGATGGCTCCATATGATAAACACTGGACTGTGAACCACAAGGTTGACGGTTCAAGCCTGCTAAACACTCCATAGGAGAAAGATGAGGCTTTATGCTCCTGTGAAGATTTAAAGTCTTAGAAATCCTGTACACGGTCATTTATGAGTTGGAAGCGATTCAAAAGTACTTCATGACAATATAAAGAATATCAGAAACATTTTGTCGAGATGATGAGACCCTGTAACTATCCAAGAAAAAAGGATGTTTTATTTTATCCTCATGTTCCTAAATCTTCTCTCACTGCTCTGAAAAAAAGTATGAGGTAAATTGTCACAGCAAAATTTTAACCAAAGGATTTTCACTTCTCAGCCTCGGAAACCCCGTACTGGGTCACCATGAGTCGGAAACGACTCCAGGCACACAACCACTACCACCACCACCACTTAAATAGATTCATTTTCAAAGTGAGTATTTTGAGCCACAAGAGGGAGCTGTTGTCAAATACTAAAGCATGAACATGAATATTTTAATCTATCAGTAAGATTTTTTCCTGTAAGCAGCTATTTAAAAATAAATGTCAGGATTTTGATAATAAATGTATATCGTGCTTAAATACAAACACAGCTAAAATTTAATTTTCTGGGTATCAGAAAATTGGGACAAGTTTTCTTTTAGATTTTGGAATGCCAGAGCAGAAATTGATTTTATTAAACTACTGCTTTAAAATGAGTTGGAGGTGTTTAGCTGATTTGGAACATGTCTATATACTCTGCAGTAAAGAGGAGAGAGCTTTCACCCAAATTTCACTGAGTTGAGAAATCATCAAAGAAGCTTAGTGCTTGATTAATAGATGTGGGCTTGACTCAATGGGCAAGTCACACATGGAAACTGGCAACTGTGTTTGAGGGGGGATAATGTTTTTCAGTAAAACACATCACATGTAACGTATTAACAAATGTAAAATGGGAAACACATAGGAACATTTGCGCTTTCTGCCAAATCTGTCAGAAGTGACTTATGTTTATATGGAAAAATGATAGTTCACAACTTCATTGGTTTCTTTTTCATTCCATATGGAAATGATTACCTTTTTGCTGTTTTTCTTATCAACTGTTGCTATGATTAAAATACTGAATCGTATCTTATTTCTAAGGAATGCAAAAAGTGGTCTGTTCAGCTGCTAAAAGGCACACCCCATCGCTGCATTTTGTTAACCCAGTATACTTGAAAATAATTAGATCATAATTTTACAAAACAAAGTCATTGTTTCGCACTGAAGAGATCCCAAGAAACAAGTACCCAGACCAAACCCCATGTAAATGAAGATCTGTAACTAAATTCCCTCCAGAGGAGTGATTCTGAGGAACCTTACTAGAAGGCTAGCTTGAAGAAAGTTGTTTGAGGAGATTCAAGAGGCAACACTGGGAACAAGTATGTCTAAGTTGGCAACTAGCTCTTGGAATCAGCTGCAGATCAACATGAACCTCAGTTTAGACAGAGCACTTGGTCTGTTCAATTAGGGAAATTTGATCCCTTATTACAATCGACAGATGCATTATAGGATTTGTGTAATATCTAAGTATTTCTAAACTTGTTTCAAATTTTTACATAATGTAAACTTTTTGCTATTAGAGTAGTAATTTCATTAAGGAAGCTAATACCAAAGCTTCAAGATACGGGGTGGCTTTGGGAATCTACTTTGGAGAAAATGGCTAATTGGCCAAGACAACATAGAAGAGTAAGTTTCTGGGTGAGAGATCCAGATGATTTTGAGAGTTTCTTCAATTGTTTAGTAATAGGCACACTATGCTATCACTGGGTCACCCCGATACAGAATTCTCCTCTGTAGCAGCGAGTGCAGTGCGAACTCACACTGCTTCTAAGTTAGAAGGTTTTTTTTTTAAACTGCCCTCGCCCTGCACATCCCAGCCCCCTTTATTTTTTTCAGATGGTTCCTATATGTGCTTTCTCAAGAGTTCTTAAATCTGTAGACTGTTTCTTATTGATTCCTTCTAATAGCTTTGAACTTTTCCTTCCGTTAGCCGTCAATCTGCAAGATCTTTCTTTAACATTTCACTTAAGATTCACCAAGTGTACCAGCAATTCAGTCTTCAACCATTTCATTCATTCATCCAATTTCTGTTCAATGTCCACAGTGCGTATATACCAGGCACTGAGCAAAGTGTTCTAGATATAGGAATAAAAACAGATAGTCTGAAGTCCTGATATGGCGCTGTAAGATAAGCTTCAGACTGCTAACTGCAAGGTTGGCAGTTCAAAATACCAGCCGCTCCTCAGAAACTCTACCTCAGGTCATTGTGAGTCGGAACCAACTTGGCAACACTTAACACACCAGATAGTCTAAATGAAGACGCTTACATGTATTTAAGTTTCTTTCAATAGCTGATGCTACAACTCTGGCTTCTTTATTATTGCTTAAATTGTCTATATCCGTGTTCAACTTTTTTTTACAGCAAAGAATGTTGTTGTTAAGTGTTGTAGAGTCAGTTCTGACCCATAGCGACGCGGTATAGGCTTTCCGAGGAGCGGCTGGTGAGTTTGAACCACTGACCTTGCAGTTCAAAATCGACTTTGAGGTTGAGTGTTTATAACTACTAGGTGCACAGTCCAAGAAAAATAATTCAATTGAGAGCTCTAATCTTGGCTTCAAATTTGTCTGAAACATCTCCTTACTTCCTCTGTAGACTTTATTTTGCAGTATATATACCAGTGATTTTTCTCCTGACCACCATGTTTATATACTTGAATTTCTGCCCAAAATTTTGTTTTAAAACATGCTCCATGTGTTCTCATCCTGCTCTTATCTCCCCATGAGTCCAAGACTTGGCGGTCAGTTCCTTGCTTAGTCTGCCACTGACCTACCAAATATGGCTTTAGCCACTAACTTGTCGTTTTTGATAAACAATGTTATTTTTTTTAAGAAATATTTGCTCATCTGTATCAGTCACATTTTTTTCCTTTAAATTTTAGGAATGTGTGCGGGAAAAATCTGGCTTTACATTTTTAGCTGAATAATTTCTTGCTCCTACACACTGAACTATCTCAGACTCTGCATTGTCAGCCATATTTATAGATGGAATCCCATTTCCACAAGCAGGGATACTTGCACAAGAAGTTAAGCAATGCAAATATTTCAGGTTTCTGGGAAGCACAGTGTTGGATCATTGTAGAAGACAATATTGCATCTACATTCTGGAAAAGGAGGAAATAAAGTCCCAATCATGTAGACTCTAGGGAGCTCAGAAAGCAAGAAAAGCAAAGCAAAGTAGGGGAACTGAAGTTGTTCCAAGCAACTTACAAAGATTTCAGAAAAGGCCTTGGTTTCTAAATTACGGATTTTACCTAAGGATGAAAACTCTAAGACTAGCTTAAAAAGAAACAATAAGCTAAATTATATGCCACATGAATTTCTCTTTCTTGCCAGTGTCAATATGATGGATACTGTTATGGCTCTCTTGTTCTACTTGAATTTAATTGTTTATACAGTGAGTACACAAAGTTTCTTTCCCTTTGCTGTCCAGTGAGGTAGCAGTTAGCCACAGGTGGCTATTGAGCATTTATGAAATGTGGCTACTCAAAACTGAGATGAGATCTATGTGCAAAATACACATTGATTTTAAAGATTGAGTATGAACAAAATAATTAAAATCAGTCAACAGTATGTTGTTTTTGCATAGATTGCAGATTGAAATTATATTTTGGATATTAGGTTAAATTATATTTAAGTTCACTTTGCTAATTGTTCAAGTTCATTTGACCTTTAAGAGGGAACTGCTAAATTTCTTAGATTTGTGGCTTTCTGCTGAACAGAACTATTTTGGACATTTCAGGAGCCAAGTCCTCCTGGGAATTGTAGAAACTGGTGTTGAACAAAGCTTGTCTGTATCAGATGTGTGGTTATAGGAACATGATAGTAAGCACAAGATGGGAGCTTCCTTTCTGAAGAAAGGGGGCCCTTTTCTTTAGAAATTTACAATTGACTTGATGGCACTGGGTTTGGTTTTTAGTTTGCTTTAAATTACACTCAATTCATGCTGTTGTTGTTGTTGTTGTTAAGTGCCATCGAGTCGGTTCCGACCCATAGCGACCCTGTACAGGGTTTCCGAGGGTGTAAATCTTTACGGGAGTAGAAAGCCTCATCTTTCTCCCGCGGAGCGGCTGGTAGTTTCAAACTGCTGACCTTAAGGTTCGCAGCCCGATTCGTAGCCACTACGCTACCAGAGCTCCTTATGAAAATGGATGTGAGCTTAATTCAACAAACTTTACTTGAACACTTGCAAGGCAAAGCATTGTGCGGGGCAGGGAGGAAAAAAAAAAAAAAATTAGTCAAACCTGGTCCCTGTCCTCAAGGAGTTCACCATTTGCTACAAACTCCAAAATAGGTGTCAGAAAAGACTCTGAAACATGCTTTTGAACGTAGAGCACCTAAATGATGTGAACAGGAAAAATGATAAAGTTTGAGAGCTGAACATAAGATTTCGAAGTGTGGCTCAGGAAGACAAAGTATTATAATGAAATTTGTATAAACCTGGAGTTAGAAAATCAGACGGAAGAACATACTTGGCACTCTTCAAGACAAAATTACTGAAAGTTGTAATATTGAAGGAGTCTATGGACAAAATATTGAACTATGCAGGAAGCTTAGTT